CCAACTCTTACAATTTCCAGTTCATCTCTCTCAGTGAGAAGACTTAGCCACCCTCTTCTGTTACAAGAGAACCCATGCTCACAGAGAGTACCTAATATATAGCAGAACCCCATTCTTTCTCTGGGCTTGAGGACTCCAACTCTAGAATTACATGAGTATCCATGTCACTCCTTCTGGAAACAGAAACTTCTAGAGACTCATGATATGTTTTTTCCCTTGTTCCAGTATTTTTTTCAAAATGGAATGAGAGCAATGGGAACAACTCTTTTTTTTCTTAATGACAATCTTTTTAATTGTTCATTGAAAATTACAGGTTTGGAAAGAGTCTATGGCGTTGTGTATTGAATGCAAGGTCTGATATTACAAGTACACATGACTTAACAGTTTAACTTGTATAAAATAATACATATTAATATGAGTTGTTTGAGGCAATTCGGTGCTGATGAGAATTCCTGAAATAGTTATTTCAGAACTTCTAAATATAGCACAAATGAGGTCTTATTTTTTAAGTGTCCATGAAAAATATAAGCACAATTAGACAATACACATTCTGCTTCCATTTACTCTGTGTTTAGTCTGTGCTTTTTTCAGTCACATATATCTTTGTTTTCATTATTTTGAGCAGCTCTAAAACTATTTAAAAAATGAATACATTAACATAACAGGTGTATTCTTATCATCCATAATTAATTGTTTATAGTTATCACACTTGGCTTGTCATTTTTCTTAACACAAAGAAAAATTACAGAATTTGCCATTGTCGCATATAAACCGGCCACCTCTACCTACCATTCCAGGGCTCCATTCTTCTCCCTAGCATTAGGACTTGGCAAAATACATTTGCCAGCTCCCTCTGCTCTTAACTTTCATCCTAGAATTTTTAAAAACTCAGAAAACAGTTTTTGCTTTCATTTGAAATTATAACCCATAGCCTAGTTCCTGAAGGGGGACCAAAAATATTGGGAAAACTTTCATCAGTGAGGCGTAGTCACCTGTCAGCTGTCACACGATTTCCTGCTCTGAAGCTCACGTGTCACTGACCACAGAGGGGAACCCAGATCAGAGCAGGAGGCTTCTCGGCCTGCGGGGTAGAGCTGTGAGCATGACACTTGTTAGCTTGCTGTGTGCATTCCTGGTCTCCATGTGTCTGGGTAAGGAAGGCTTAGGTATTTATTTATAACGTTACCTAATGGGGCTGTGAAACAGAAGATTAATAGCACCAGAACTGCATTGCCTCACAGAGCCCAGTTGAAAGCTGGTATGCTCTGCTGAGGTTTGGATCAAGAAGAAAAGTGGGTGGGGTTGGAAACCAGCTTGGGTATCTGCCTGCTTTCTCTCTCCTGTGACGCCCAGTGCGGACCTTTCTCTCCTCCTTCCCACAGGACCCAGTGTGGCCCAGACAGTCACTCAGCCTCAACCAGAAGGGTCTGTACAGGAGGCAGGCACAGTGACCCTGGACTGCACATATAGCACCAGTGACAGTGATTATTATTTGTTCTGGTACAAACAGCCTCCCAGTGGGGAGATGGTTTTCATAATACGCCAAAATGCTTATGAACGACAGAATGCAACCAACAATCGCTACTCTGTGAACTTCCAGAAAGAAGCCAAAGCCTTCAATCTCAGGATCTCAGACTCCCAGCTGGAGGATGCTGCAATGTATTTCTGTGCTTACAGTGGTGCACAGTGAGATGAGCAACAGAGAGAGGCTTACAGAAACCTCAGACCTCAGCATCTGTGCAGAGGTCTGGGGAAGTAGTTGGGGTAAGAGGAACAGAAAATCATGGACTTCACCTTGAAATAATAGCTATTCCTATCTAAATATAAGAAACACAGAGAGATGAATGTCTGTGACTTGTAGTCCTTAAGTAAATATAATAGCATGTATAGTAGTTTCCAGTTTTACGAGGTGTCTTAATTCATGGTATCATCTGAAACCCTCATTGCTTCATATGGTATACATGATCAGTTAGATTTCTGAAGCATTTCTTCTGTCTAGCAAATCTTTATAATTTTCCTGGGAACTCTTACCTCCAAGAATTTTAATCTTTTCCAAGTTGTTCACAGGTGTTTGTCCTTTTAACTGTCCTCCTTGACCAAAACTGAAGCTCCTCAGAAAAAGATACTTATTTTAGTTCACAACGGTGTGACAGTGTGGCCATAACCAGGCAGGGACCCCACTGGTCTTACCACAGACTTAAGAGATAACCTAGGTTGATGTACCTAGATAAAGTGACCTATCAGAAGGAATGGCCTTTTAAAGGCTCAGCTAAGAAGACAGCTCAGGGGCAAGACTGTTCGTGGTTCGAATGCTATTCCAGGAAGAGATAACACCCATTAAACCAATGTCCAATCTGTTGCACCCTAGGTGAAATACACAAGTTTAGAAACCAAGAAATGGAAGCAGAATAGACTCTTTTCCTATCACTCCCTGAAACCCACCTTCAGAATGTGTGTTCCCCTTTCCCATAGATCCAGGCTCTGCTAGATTAGAGGTCCTGGTTCCCCGAGGAAGAATGCTTCCATCAATGGACTCACAAGGGTTTCACTGAACCTGCAACTCTGACTGCCACCTAGGTCATTTTGAACTCCTTGAGCTGATGGTCCAGCAGGCAAAGACAGGAGTTACTAGATGCAGGGGTCATTGATCCTGATTATCATGGAGTACCAGGTTGTTGCAGGACAACAAAAACAAAAATGAATATGTCTGGAATGCAAGTGTTTCACATAGGGTATTTCCAGGCCCAGTAAAAATAGCAAATGGTCGCCGTGGCAACAAGGTCTAAAAAGAACAAACTCAGAACAGAGACCTCTCAGCAACGAGGGTCTGGGCCACCACACCTTGTAAGAATTTGAGTTTGCTAAAGTTCTGTCTGATATACAGAAGTTTGGAGAGCATCGCAGAGGAGGGAGAAGATGAGTACCACGAAAAGGAGTGGGGCCTGAAGCTCAGGTCATACTACCTCGTGTATCAAGTGTTTCAGATGTATTACAGCCTGCCACAAACTTGAATACTCAGAGACACAGTGTAAATAACATGAGACAAGCAGACATCTGTGTATTGTCAAAGCGAGCTCTGTCACAAATATCTCATGTGCCTTGTTGTCACATCCAAACACCCAGGTCTGATGTTAGCAATAGCTGTGGCAGACAGTTCTCTGGGCACTGGGACTCATCTCAAGCTGATAACTTGCAACATTAAGCATCCACTGTGCATTAGTTTTACTTCGTACCCCAGGGCTTTCTCTGATTCCTTGGGAACTCACTCAGTCCATGGGCAAGCACAGCCTGAAACTAAAGGGGAATAACCACCCCTGCCAGCAAGCACCAATCAGAAGGAAAAGGGATGGATGCATACACAGATTCTTGCCTCCCAACGATAATCCTGAGATGCATCTTGTATGTTTCTTGGAGATCCTGGGAGAAACAAGCCCCAATACTGCGCTATCTACTTTCTCATTTCTGCTTCTTAAGATCACTTCCTAAATAAACTGCCTTCACCTGAATTCTTGCTTTAGGCTCCTTTTTTGGGGTTGTGAAGAGACAAAATTAAAACAGAGGCACTTTAAAAATTTGACAGAGAAAGAACAGAAGAAAGTGCAAGGTGAACTTTACTGGGCTGATTTCTAACAAGAGCAGGTGGGTACTTGAGTGATTACATAACTGGAAAAATAGAAGCTGACACCTTATTTTTTCAAAAGATAGTGAAATAGAGCATACTTATGAAAATTCGGTCTGTGTAGATGTATGATCATATCCTTACTTACCAAGTCTCAATTTTTATTAATATCATTATCCCTGTCCCTGAATCTGCTCATCCTCATTATTTAAACCTCATTCCTCAGTTCAGTTCAGTTCAGTTGCTCAGTCATGTCCGACTCTTTGTGACCCCATGAATCGCAGCACGCCTGGCCTCTCTGTCCATCACCAACTCCTGGAGTTCACTCAAACTCATGCCCATTGAGTCGGTGATGCCATCCAGCCATCTCATCCTCTGTCGTCCCCTTCTCCTCCTGCCCCCAATCCCTCCCAGCATCAGGATCTTTTCCAATGAGTCAACTCTTTGCATGAGGTGGCCAAAGTACTGGAGTTTCAGCTTCAGCATCAGTCCTTCCAACGAACACCCAGGACTGATCTCCTTTAGGATGGACTAGTTGGATCTCCTTGCAGTCCAAGGGACTCTCAAGAGTCTTCTCCAACACTACAGTTCAAAACCTCATTCCTACTTCTTCTCAAAATATACCTCTATTCCAGTCCATCTATTCTCCTTACCAACCCATAAGCATCTCAGTCTCTTGAATTTCTTTTCTGGTTTTTCCACTCATCCAAATTTCCCTTTCATGTATATATCAAGCTGGTCAAATCATATTGGTCCCATAAGTACACCTCAAAACTTTATCTCCTCCAAGTGTTCTTCTCTAATAGTGAATCCTTGAATCCCTTCTCCCCAGTGGTCACAGACTCCTTATAGAACAGATTTCTTGACTAAACCAAGTTCTCTCTGTGTAGAGGAGTGAATCATCATAGGAATTGCCTCAGTAACTATTTCCATGACCTGAAGAGGGCACTGCTTGCACGGTTGACAACAGAGAATCAACTGCCCACCTGACAAACCAGTTCCTGCTCTGAAGCCAGGATGTCAGCAAGGTTCTGATGAGAACAAGAGGTTTTTATGTCCCTGAAGGAGAGAACTGCCAATATGTCAGGCCCCGGTTTGCTGTGGGCAGCCGTGCTCTCCATCTATCTTGGTAAGGAAAGCATATGTATTTGCTTTTACTAACAGCCACTAGGTCTGGGAAGTGGGAAGAAAAATTCTTAACACGGGTATCTTGTTACTTCCTCATGGGTCCAAGCTACTGAGGGCAAGAAAGCTGATGCATTTTACTTGAAGTTTGGGTCAAGCAGAAGAAAGGTGGGTGGCAATGGGGACCAGCTCGGACGTCTGCCTGCTTTCTCTCCTGTGACGCCCAGTGCGGTCCTTTCCCTCCTCCTTCCCACAGGACCCAGTGTGGCCCAGACGGTCACTCAGCCTCAGCCAGAAGTGTCTGTACAGGAGGCGGGCACAGTGACCCTGGACTGCACATATAGCACCAGTGACAGTGATTATTATTTGTTCTGGTACAAACAGCCTCCCAGCGGGGAGATGGTTTTCATTATTCGCCAATATGCTTATGAACGACAGAATGCAACCAACGATCGCTACTCTGTGAACTTCCAGAAAGAAGCCAAAGCCTTCAATCTCAGGATCTCAGACTCCCAGCTGGAGGATGCTGTAATGTATTTCTGTGCTTACAGTGGTGCACAGTGAGATGAGCAACAGAGAGAGGCTTACAGAAACCTCAGACCTCAGCATCTGTGCAGAGGTCAGGGGAAGTAGCTGGGGTAAAAGGAACAGAAAATCATGGGCTTCTCTAGAGGAAAAAAATATTATTCCATCTGCCTATAGGAAACACAGAAAGGATATCTATAAGCTGAAGTTCTCTTAATAGTAATAAAAATAATGGAGGTACATAATGCTTTATAGTTTGTAAAGTATTTACATTCACATGTATTTAACTTTCAAAACCTTGTTGTTATATAGGAGGGGTCAGATATTCTGTGTGACTACCATCCAGGAATTTTTATAGCTTTATATAGCTTTATATATATATAAAATTTATATAGCTTTATAACTAAAGCTGTATTCTCTGTCTGCATGTTCCATGATCATATCAAACTCAACATATCTGAAACTGAATGTTTCATACTCCCCACAAATATTATTTTCCTCAGCTTTGATCAGGATTAAAATACACAGTAGAAATCTATTTCTGGGCTTGGAGAATTTCTTCACCCTTTATCTCCCAGTCTGGGCTGTCTAATTTTGTGGTGTGTGTGTGTACCCACATCTAATTTCTTTATAGTTACAAAACAGTGTGACAAGCGACATCACATTTATCTCATTGTTTTCCAGTTGATATATCAGTCACTGTTTCTGACTTCAACCTAATTCCACCCTCTTTTTCTCAAATTTCCTTAAAGTACAACTGGCCTGATCTAGAAGGTAAAGGAAGAGAACAAACACGTCCAGTAGGATTTCATGTGCTGCTAGTACTTGTCAGCAAATGCAAATTACTAATTTTTAAAAAACAAAAAGATTAATTTCTGGTTATGCTACCATTGCTTCTGGGAGAAGGTGAGCCATTTAGAAAGGTGGGGCCAAGCAGCTGCCATAGCCAGAGTAACCACCTAACATTCCCTGAGAAATTGGGGATGTCTGGACCTGGAAATGATTCCATCTTATTTATGTGAAAGGGAAAAAAAATAAAATAGAAAAAAATGATGCCAATATTTCTTTGTATGTCCATAATCTGCCCTGCCAGGACATAGCTATGAAGACCCCCCTCCTGGAGCATTTAATTCTATCTGCCCACTTTGAGTGAACTACAGGAGAAGGTACTCCATGACTGAAATAATTAAGTCTAACAAGAGGGCTCCAGACCTCCAGAACGCTCCAGGGAGGGGTTTCCATAAAAAATCAGGAACGACAGATCAGTCAAAGATTTTTTTTTTTTTTTTTTTTTGCTTTCTTTTGAAGTCCTGATGGAAACGGGAATCAACACTGACAGTACAAAAATTAGTGCTAAATGTTATAAATTGTGCTTTCTTTTTCTTTCTACTGTTCTAGATCAATGACTCTAGGGTAGAAGTGGCATGTAGCAATCACCCTGGAGTTAAAGACTACAGTCTTCACCCTCACACCTTGAGAACAACCACGGTTACACTGTTACTATGGGAGTGTTCAGTTCAGTTCCGTTCAGTCACTCAGTCATGTCCGACTCTTTGCTACCCCATGGACAGCAGCACACCAGGCCTCCCTGTCCATCACCAATTCCCAGAGTTTATTCAAACTCATGTCCATGGATTCATGTCCATGGGAGTGTTTCACACCACAAATTATGTTAAGATGGTAAAAAGTTTGCTTAACCCCTTTTCATTGAAGTTCACCTTTTAAAAGCAGAGTTGATTAAGATGTTTACATAATTTAAAATCTGTTTAAGCAAATAATTCTGTTTGGAATAATGAATGGAAAAGTATGTTATATGCCCTCAGTTAATAGCATCTGGGAACAATGAATCTACTGGGGCATACCCTCCTGATGACACTTCACATGAATTTTAGGCAAAGCTAACTACTAGATACATGACAGACTTTCCCTGATTATACACTATAAAAGCTTATTGCTTGTTAAAAATGGAAATACCATGCTCATTGGCAACTAGCCATTTCCTAACGGCCCCTTACATGCTCACTTCCAACCCCTACAGTTTGGCTGTCTTGGTTCCTCTCCAAGACTTATTCATGACCCAACAACTAAAGAGAAAATGCTTGGCACAGCCAGCAATTAAACAGTGGAATACCTTGAAATCCTCACCAGGATTCTGCTCAACACTGACTTTCTCCTGACAACCTGTGTCTGTTCTGATATCCATACCAAATAACAAACAGTTTATTAAATATAGGATTATGAGTTTTTAATATTACCCAGGCCTAGAAGGAAATACAACATATACCATAGCATACTATAACAAATAGTCTACTAGGCAAGGGTGAGCTAATGCGGGCTAATGAAGAAATAAGAAAAAATGTAAAATTTTTTTGTCATGCAGACATATTCATAAGATAAAAGTATGATAGCTACGCAGATATCAGCTAATCTGATCCTTATTTTTCCCTCAGTTCACTTTTCTACCTACTGTCTGGGCAAGAATATCCTGTCCTGCTTCTGTGCTGAACAGATGTTCTGAATCCCAGTTTCTAATATGGTGGGAGTGGGTGGGGGTGGGTAGGAGATCTTTCCATCAGTTCAGTTCAGTTGCTCAGTCATGTAAGACCCCATGGACTGCAACACGCAAGGCTTCCCTGTCCATCACCAACTACCGGAGTTCACTCAAACTGTCCATTGATGAGTTTGAGTCAATTCCTGGAATTGGTGATGGACATGGAGGCCTGGTGTGCTGTAGTCCATGGGGTTGCAAAGAGTCAGACGCAACTGAGTGACTAAACTGAACTGACAACAGAAGCGGGGGAAAGGGGGGAAAAATTCTAAAAAACCTATAGAGCAAGTCAAAGCATAAGAATAATAAATGTAAAAAAAAAAAAGAAGAAGAAATGTTTTTCTTGAGTCAAAAAAAAAAAAAAACTCATGTCCATTGAGTCAGTGATGTCATCCAACCATTTCATCCTTGGTCATCCCCTTCTCCTCCCACCCTCAATCCTTCCCAGCATCAGGGTCTTTTCCAATTTGTCAGGTCTTCACATCAGGTTACCAAAGTATTGGAGTTTCAGCTTCAACATCAGGCTTTCCAATGAATATTCAGGACTGATTTCCTTTAGGATGGACTGGTTGCATCTCCTTGCATCCAAGGAACTCTCAAGAGTCTTCTCCAACACCACAGTTCAAAAGCATCAATCTTCGGTGCTCAGCTTTCTTTATAGTCCAACTCTCACATCCATACATGACCACTGGAAAAACCATAGCCTTGACTAGATGGTCCTTTGTTGGCAAAGTAATGTCTCTGCTTTTTAATGTGCTGTCTAGGTTGGTCCTAACTTTCCTTCCAAAGAGCAAGTATCTTTTAATTTCATGATTGCAGTCACCATCTGCAGTGATTTTAAAGCCCCCCAAAAAATGAAGTCTCTCACTGTTCCCACTGTTTCCCTATCTATTTGCCATGAAGTGGTGGGACTGGATGCCATGATCTTAGCTTTTTGAATGTTGAGTTTTAAGCCAACTTTTTCACACTCCTCTTTCACTTTCATCAAGAGGCTCTTTAGTTCTTCGCTTTCTGCCATAAAGGTGGTGGCATCTGCATATCTGAGGTTATTGATATTTCTCCTGGCAATCTTGATTCCAGCTTGTGCTTCATCCAGCCCAGTGTTTCTCATGATGTACTCTGCATTTAAGTTAAATAAGCAAGATAACAATATACAGCTTTGACATACTCCTTTCCCAATTTGGAACCAGTCTGTTGTTCCATGTCCAATTCTAACTGTTGCTTCCTGACCTGCATACAGATTTCTCAAGAGGCAGTGGGGAGTATTAATTTGTTGGAGTGGCCCACAGAACTTAGGAAGCTTGTTTCCTCATTAGATCACCAGTTTATTATAAAATCATACAATTCAGGAACAGCCAGGTAGAAGAGATGGGTAGGGCAAGATATGAAGAAAGGAGAGCTTTCAAGCTCATCCTCAGCACACACCACTCTTCCTGAATCTCCACCTGTTCACCAACCCAGAGACTCTCTGAACCCCAGCCTTAAGGGTTTTTATAGGGACTTCATTGTTTAGATATGACAGATTAAGTCACTGTCCATTGGCAATAGACTCAACAGCCGCATCCCCTCTCTGGAGATCAGGGGGATGGGCCTAAAAGCTGCAACCCTCTAAACAGGGTTGGCTCCTCTGTCAACCAGCCACTGTCCTTAGGTGCTTTCTGAAAATCACCTCATTAACATAATATAAGATAACTTTAAGGCTCTTGCCATAAGAAATTCCAAGAGTTTTAGCTGCCAGAAATGGAATGAAGATCAGATATCCATTTCTTTTTATAAATCAAAATATCACATGTGCTTATGTTAGTATTTGCTTAAGAACATGGCCAGAATAGAACTTTTAGGCATTGAGACCACATTAGGATATTTTGATTCCTGTTAATATGCTTTGCTAACACTGTTCGTCTACTTTGGTTACTAACAAAACATAGAGTATGGAGCTTTCATGCTCTTTCTCTTTTAACACAGCTCTTTGTCTCACGTTTCTTGGGAAGCTTCATTGCCACTGTGACATCAGGAATGGGCACATTCCACTGACTGCAGCAACGGAAGTCTACCCTTTGGCAGAAGGAAATTCCTGCTTAATGGGGAGGCTGATGCAGATAACCTTTTCTAGAAGCTCAGAATTACACTGATAATTTCTTGCACAGAACATTTGCAATTTCAGAAAGGTGAGTGATGTCAGATCTAAAAATCTTTCGTTCTGTCTTACTTCATTTAGATTCAGATTTAAGGGGAAACATTGGAGAAGTCTCATGAATTTCAATGAGTGATATTTTCCAGCAATCGGTAGAAGATATAAATTTAAAGAATGGTTAGAGGATTAACCAAAACAGACATTGCCAGTAATTCTGCATTGTCATCAAAGCACGTATGCTTGTAGGTCAGTCAGCACTTTAGATGAATGATAGACTTTAGAAAACTATAAAATCTTCACACATTTCTAAGATGACTTATAAAATGTTTTATAATTACTTTAAATGTTTAAGTAGCT